TTTTGTTCAGCACTAACTTCATCAAATTATCTTTTTCTTTTAAGATTTTTCCAAAATTTATTTTCAATTTAGATTGCATAATTTAAAAAAAAAAGTATTTGCAATTTTTCTAGAATCATATTGTGGTGCCTTTCCAAATTCTTAAAACAGCTCATCTTAAAAAAAATGACTGATACAGCATTTTCATGATTTTCAGAATTATGGAGAATAAAATATCTTTTTACTGGTATTTTTTATTTAAAAAGGCACACATAAATGGGCTATTATTTTAGAACAAAATAAACATCAACACTCATTGTAGTTTGATTATACTGTCTCTGCATTAATTTAATTTCTAACACTGATCCTGAATTAATAAAATCCTACGCAATGAGCAATCAATTATCACAGTGTGACTAAAAGATGTATTGTTCATACTACACAGGATTGCTTTCTAACAGCACCCAACTGCTATCATACTGCACCACTTACAACTAGATAGAAAATAAAGTATGGCAATGCATTAAAGATGGGGTGGATCTTCAATCATTCAGCCCTGGCACCATCTTGATTTTTTTGACATTTTTTCCAACCCTCTATTAGATGGGATATTATATTATTAACTAGATGTTTGAATATGATGAAAAATAGATAATTGCTAGAAATGGAAATACTATCATAACTAGAAAGATAAACTAGAAAGGAAAACACCAGCAAACAGGAGCACAGTGGATGAACGGCTAAATGTGGAGGCAGCCGGAAGCAGAGAACAAGAGAGCCAGCTCCGGAGCACAGCTAAGCAGCTCAAGGCAGGGAAGAAAAAAAAAAAAGAGAGAGAAAGCAACTGAGAGCAGCGAACCGGAACTGGAGCACCCCCCACATCCAACAGGTGGCCGTGCAGTATAAAGAGGACACCAGAGAACCTCTAGACCAACAGAGGGTTACCTGAAAGCCTGGCGAAGCAGAGGATCGGTGAGACAGCTGGAGGAAACGAAAAGGAGGCGGCTGGCAGCAATGGAAAGCTACCAGTGAGGCAACTGGGGAAACTCAGTGGACATAGTATACTTGGACTCAGTGGTGGGATTCAAATATGTGAACAACCGGTTCTCTATGTGGATGCTGGGCCTAGGCAACAAAAAATTAGCTACAAGTTCTGCTGAAGTGGTGCAAACTGGCTGAATCCCACCACTGCTTGGACTTCAGTAAGCATTTGATAAGGTAGACCAAAACCTACACCTTGGTAAACTAAGAAAGGGTGGGATAGACAACATCACTACCACCTGGATCTCTAACTGACTAACAAACTGTACTCAACAAGTAGTCCTCAATGGCACTACATCCACATGGAGAGAAGTAAGTAGTGGGGTACCACAAGGTTCTGTCTTAGGCCCAGTACTCTTCAATATCTTCATCAATGACTTAGATAAGAGAATAGAAGGGAAATCATTAAACTTGCAGATGACATCAAACTAGCAGGAGTAGCCAACACCCCAGAAGAGAAACACAGGATCCAAAAAGATCTTCACCAACTTGAACAATGGGCCCTATCCAACAAAATGAGTTTCAATGTGGAGAAAAGCAAAGTCTTACATTTAGGCAGGAAAAACCAAAGGCACAAATACAGATTGGGTGAGACCTGGCTCAAAAACAGTAACTGTGAGAGGGATCTTGAAGTCCTAGTGGACAATCATTTGACTATGAGCCAGCAGTGTGCAGCAGCAACCAAAAAAGCTAACAAAATCCTGGGTTATATAAACAGAGGCATAGAATCAAAATCACAAGAAGTACTATTATCGCTTTATAAAGCCCTAGTAATATCACACCTAGAATACTGTAGCCAATTTTGGTCACCATACCACAAAAAAGATGTTGGGAGTTTGGGACTAAGATGATCAGGGGCCTGGAGACTAAAACATATGAAGAACAGCTACGGGATTTCAGTCTGGCTAGTCTAAGGAAAAGAAGAAATAGGGGAAACATGATAGCAGTGTTCCAGTATCTGAGGGGCTGCCACAAGGCAGAGGGGGGCAGGTTGTTCACCAAAGCACCAAATGGAAGGATGAGAAACAATGATTGGAAACTGACCAAAGAGAGAAGCAACCTGGAACTAAGGAGAAATTTCCTGTCACTGGGGACAATCAACCAGTGAAACAGCTTGCCCCAAGAGATCGTGGGCACTCCATCACTGGAGATTTTTAAGAAGAGACTGGACATCCACCTGCCTGAAACAATATAGGTTCTCCTGCTCAAGCAGGGGGTGGACTAGAAGTCCTCCAAGGTCTCTTCCAGCTGTATTCTATTCTATTCTATTCTATTCTATTCTATTCTATTCTATTCTATTCTATTCTATTCTATTCTATTCTATTCTATTAGATTTATATCTAGAATATTAGATTTTGGTATAAAAAGGGAAACAGGAAAACACTAAGAAATTTGAATAAGGGAAGCTTTTGGTTACCCAAATATAACTTATTTTGAAATTATAAACAATAGAGACATTTTGAACACTGGTGGGAAATCAAAATTTTAAAAAAGCAAAAACAGGATATTGATTGAACATATGGATATTAAGTGCAAATGCAATTAAGATATGTTTTGGTTAGAAACTGATATTATTGATATTATGAGAAAAATGTAACAAATATGTTGATATTCAATTGTATATTTACTAATAACAATAAGAACTGTATTTGCCTATTGTGAGAAAACAGGTACTACCGGAAGAAGAGAGGAAACATTTGATGGTGCAATATTGGATCTAGATTGAAGAAGTTAATATATACCACTGAATTACTAATGGACCCAGACAACATGTTGCCTATTAAGTACTTGACTGTAAAACTATAAAATTAATAAAATATTTATATAAAAAAGATGGGATGGGTCTTCAATCATTCAGTCCTGGCACCATCTTGATTTTTTTAACATTTTCTCCAACCTCTCAAAAAAACTAGGTGCCAAAAATACATCACCAAATGCAAATATCTAAAAATATATGAATCACATTGATCTTCCAAATTTTCTGCATTAAAATAAAAAAAAATAATAATAATTCCATCAGCTTCACCATCCATTCTTCCATTATAGGTAATTATAAGTCCTTCCACCTTTTGTGCATATAAAAATTTTGTTGTTCTTTTCATATATAAAAGCAAGGTCTCTGGGTTCAATTGTACATTCACTTTTAAAATCTTTAAAATCTTCTGAAACAGAATGCAAACTTGATCCCAATATTTTCTAACTTTGGTGCATGTCCACCAAAGAAAAAAAATGCTGTCAGTTTAATTACATTTCCAACAAATATTTGAAATTCCCTTGTATATTTTTGACAGTTTATCAACTATTAGCAATATATCATTATACAAAAATTCTCTTTAAGGTTATAATTTAATTGTACATTTCAATCCTTTCTTCCACATGCATTCCTATTGATTCAAGTGTATATTATATCCCCAAAAAATTGCCCGTTTTTTTGGCTTAATCAAATTACTATTAGCCATAATTTAAGCCTTCAGAGATGTATATGTCAACTTGATTCCTTGAATAATGTTGTTACTGAAGCCCATGTCTTCCAAAACTTTAAACAAAAAGGAGCAGTTGAAATTATCAAAGGCTTTCTTAGCCTAAGAATATCAGTGCAGCTTGTTTTTCACTACTTTGTTGAAGTCTCTTTGTTACATCCAGCATGGTTCTCACATTTTTTTTAAAAAAAATATCTTTTAGGTAGACAATTAACATTGATTTTCATGAATGAACTCTCTAAGAACATTTAGGGTTGCCTGCCAAAATTGATGAAAACACTTCACAATCATTGTTCAATAAAGAAATTGGTCTATAATTCCAGAGAAGATGTTTCCCTTAAGCTAAAAATAGCTTGATTGGGTTAGAAACTTTGTGATGTGAAAGCCTCTGTCCATCCTGAAGAAAAACAAACTTTTTACTCAAGAAACGTTTGTGAATCAGCTTCATTATTATTTATCATCTCTTTTTCCTTTACATGTAGAACACTTTTTGAAACAACAGCATTTAGAGTGCCCTATTTCTTTGCTAAAGACAGATGTCATAAGAAAAGCAGCATCTATCCAGAGCCAATCTGCTACTTAATTTTTGTCACTAACTGAATATTTAAGATTTATATTCAGAAAATATTGATTTTGTTTCTGGAGACCATGGGCATTTCTATAAGACATTTCTGAGCATATTCTAAAACAGGGGTGTCAAACTCAATTTCACTGAGGGCCGCATCAGCATTGCGATTGCCCTGGGAGGGGGTGGGTGGGTATGGCCAGAGTGGGTGCAGCCTACTGGGTGGGCGTGGATGGAGTGGGTGTGGCCTACTGGGTGGGCGTGGCCTACATCATTCACGTCAAGGGTGCCTATGGGGGCCTGGGCAGGAGTGGGACAGATCTGAGGGTCTCTGGCAGAAGGGGGTGGGACTGGGGAAAGTGCCAAGGCATGGTCCACCGGGGCAAGTGCCAAGATGGCCACCACAAAATTGTACATTGGCTCCCGGCTGGCCTGGGCCAGGGCCAAGGCAGCGGGGGCCGTTCCCTCACTGTTTCCAGGATGGCTTCACGGGCCACATGAAGCCACTTTGTGGGCTGCATCCGGCCCCCGGGCCTTGTGTTTGACATGTCTGTTCTAACATCTAAATATAAAAAAAGCTTGTGTAGCCAAATTATATTCCATGGGCTTTTCTGTTGCAACTTGATGAATCTTTTGGATAAGAAAAATAGAATGCAACTTGCTCATTCTTTTTACAGAGTCAAGTTTGCTGATTTTGCCATACTCATCAGCACATAATTGGCTTCTTCTTTATACTCCTCTGAATACTTCTGTGCTTGATTTATGTTCTCAATATTTTCTTTCAGGTTGCTTTCTAGTCGTATCCAGTCTAGGTACTCGGGTGATGAGTCTTTCACTTTCTCCATCAAACTGTCCTGGCAAAGATGAACTGAGCTAATCATTTCTTCTATTGTTGTACTAACTATTCCTTTGGTGGCAAAGTTCAGTTTCCCCACCTGCTGCTGTGTCTGCTTCAGTTTCTTAGGGACTTCCTCCATTCCCACCTCTAGCCAAAACCTGTATCCTTCCATACACACCTGGACATTGTAAGCACCTGAAAAACAAAGATGTTAATCTCAAATTAGTGATTAGGATAAATTGTTTGAGTCTCAGGAAAGCTTCAAATAATGGCCAACTATCAAAGATATCACAATGCCATGAAATCTAATTATTTCTACTTTATTTGTCAGGGACATAGGTGAATACATACATTTATAGGCATGTGTAAGAGAGACGTAATAGTAATTTGGTAATATTAAGCCAAGATTAGCCAAGCCATTTGCTTGTAATCCTTGGCATAGCACCAGAGGGGTGATCTTCTGTGAAACCATTCTTGTGGGTTTTATAGGTAATCCCTAGATTTTTTTTTTCCTGCTACTCATCTAGCATAAAATGATAAAATACTTGATAAGTCTCCCTATGAGTAAATTCTGAACTCATTTCTTGTCTTTCTTATTGTAGATTTCACAAACAGTGGGCAGTTCTTCTTCTTGGCATTCCTTTGGAAAGTAGGCATTACAAAGGTAAGATTAGCTTTAAAGGCACACGAAGGGATAATATACAGGAAGGTAAATCTAAAGAATAATTTCATTTGACATGCAATCCAAGCAGTAGAATATATTCATCCAGGAAACGGAAATCTAAAATCCTTAGCATCTTGGTAATTTATTGAGGCAGACAATCAAGCTGAATTGATTAGTGTAAACAATTTTCTCCTGCAAAAAGAATCTGAATCTTGGATTTTGAACCATGTAATTAATCAGTCTAGAATAATAGCACTGAGCAATCTGTCTAGGAGCAGTAACAAGAGCATGATATTTCACTATTTTTCTTTCCAAAAACCTCATTGGTGGATGAAAGTTTTAGGATTGAGCTATCAATAACATAAAGCATTGTTTTCTTACCTGAAGGTCAAGATGAATAAAAGGGGCTCCATGCTCCAAAAAATACTGAGTGGGCCCAAGTCATTTAAATTTAAATCAAATTAATTAGTTATTTATATATCTACTTATATTACAATATTTTTATACCACTACAGTTACAATTTTTCTGGACAGTGCATAAGTTAATAGGATTTTTTCCCCCAATCAGGTATTTTATTATTTTTCTGCTATGACATTCAGTATTATAGCTTGGTAACCACTATTGGAATTTCTGTCGTTGCCTTAATGCTTTTGAGGGTCAGGCACAACACAGGATTTTGGTTGTGCAATTCTGTAGAAAGTCATGGCTATCCATTAGATTATCGTTTTCACTGCTATTTTTGTGCCACACTCAGAATATGTCTGATGGTAACAGTGGAATCATTACTTGCAATCTGGGCATTCCAATAAATCTTGGTGAAGGGAGAACATCTTGGAAAGTAAGATCATATCATTAACACAGGAACAAGGAGGAAGACTTTTTTCCATCTCATAAGTATCACTGCCCAAGTGCAAGTTCTTAAACTTAGGTGGTGGATGTTTAAAATGCTAAAAACTATTCCATGGTGCAGAACACTGCTCTGTTTAAGTGGACAGTAAGAATAAAGTGGATGTTTCCAAATCCACACATTCTTATCAACTATCACCACTATTACGGTGCCCAGTGGGTAGGTCTGAACATGTATTATCAGAACATGCTTTATTCTCAAATATTGTAATAAATATATTTGATTTGATTTGTTGTCCAACGTAGCACAACTGCTTTCTGCACTGTAAATGTGAAGCATTCATTTATACAGGAATCAGTACGAATACTAGTAGGCTATGGATTCATTCCATCCTAGAGAACAAAGAACTTTCTCTGCAGTCTTGGTCTTCTGTTTGGGTGGACTGATTCTATTTTAAATATAGAGAGTATGATGGAGTATTAAAAAACAGTGTGAACCTAGACTGGATCAGCCCCTGTTCCAATCCTTTGAATTATTATTAGTGTAGCTAAGCACCACAAGAACAAGAGGATAAAGTATATTCTTGCTGGCCATCCTGTACACCAACATTTTCTCCCTTAAAGCTAACTGTTCTCCAGCATTAATTGCCCACCAACTTACTATGTTCCTGCAAGATCTTCTCTATGCAGACAGAAAGGCTGCTTGTGGGTGAACAGTCATAGGAATTTCTTAAGGTCTGTATAGCTTCTTGGAGAGACAAACAATGATCTTGCTGCTTATTGAAGGTCTCAGCAATGCTGTTGAACAGTGCATCCAGTTCAGGCACATTGACTCGTTTCATGGTAAGCGGTTTCCCCTTGGTGAAATTAACTAGAAAAATAGAAGCCACGGTGCTATTTTGAATACAATATCAAAAAATAAGTAAGAGTCGCTAAGTCATTAATAGGAACGCGATAATTTCCTCTATTCTTTGCTCTGAGATAGAATCTTTAGACATTTCTTTACTAAGAACATTTCTAGTTAGAATAGAAACTCCTACCTGTAACTTACCTAGCTGTTACAGGAAGATATTGGCCTTATTGGCCTTTATCAAAATAAAAAATGAAGCCATAATTAAATCTTGAATTATCCAGTTAAAATCAGACCAGTGATTCTATGACAACACAGTTTAGATTATAGTTTATTTTTCAAACTTGCAGAATTGCAATTTTTCCAAACAATGGAATACTTTATCCATTTGCTGGAAGTATTTTCAGCACATGCCAGAAGGAAAGAAGGGGAAACTTAGCTTTTTATGTGCAAACTCCAGTTTCCCTACATTCAAAAAAGATGTTCAAAAAAGATGAAAAAACATTTACTTCTAGAATATTTTGGAGAAGATAAAACAATCTGTTTCTATTTACAGAAAGGATAATATAAATCAGATTGAAACCAGCATTCAGCTTGAAACTGCATTTTTCACTGCTCTGGTGATTCAAGTGAGATAGATAGATAGATAGATAGATAGATAGATAGATAGATAGATAGATAGATAGATAGATAGATAGATAGATAGATAGATAGATAGATAGATAGAGACAGACAGACAGACAGACAGACAGACAGACAGACAGACAGACAGACCAAGGCAAGAAGGCAGGCAGGCAGGCAGGCAGGCAAATAAGATTTGGACAAGATGTGGTCAATTACACCAAATATGCATTCACATAGTTTAAAAGTTGTGATTTATGGAGAAAAAAGTCTATACTTTCAAAACGATTTCTTACAATTTCAATTATAATTAATGATAATTTCTCTATAATTTTGAACATATTTGTAATACAAAGAAAACCAAAACATTTAAATAACCCAGAGCTTTACCATTTCTGCTCCATTTTCTTGAATGCTGAGAATTCAGAGGTTCCCTCTGTGAAAAAAAATAAGTTATTAAAAGTAAATGTATTCATCCTGCCCCCAATTTTTTCAGAGATTACCAATCCTTGGAGTCAGATGCTTTGTGCTTCTAGAGCTAGATATCTTATTTTGTAGTATGTTACATCTTTTATTAAACTTTTGCTAAGTTGAGCTGTTTCTCTTAATATCTGAGTTGCAGTAGCGCAATGGTTAGAACAGGGGTCCCCAATCTGTGGGCTGTGGCTCACTATCGGGCCATGGCCTATTGGCTTCTGGGCTACGTGAGTGGCTGGCCGGTGCATGCACATGCCCAGCCCTACTCACACAAATATTGCTGCGAGCGTCACAGATGTTTGTGGCCCCATTCACATAAGCATCACTGTGAGCATCGCAGGTGTTTGGAGCCCAATTTGCATGAATATCATTGCAAGTGTCGCGGGCATTCATGGCCCAATTCGCGAAAGTGTCACCGCAAATATCATTGGCATTCATGGCCGAAGCAGCACCACGAGCATTGCAGGCACTCGTGGCCCTTTTTGCACAAGCGCTCATGGCCCCACTCATGCAAGCAATGGGTGTTCATGCATGCGTATGTATTCACATATACCCCACGAAACCATCCCTTCTTTCACCCCCTCTCCCCGCTCCGGACCACCAACTCCGAAAGGTTGGGGAACTCTGGGTTAGAATGAAGCATTGAAGGCTGACTCTGCTCACTGCAGAGTTCGATCCTGACCAGCTCAGTGTTGACTCAGCCTTCTATCCTTCTGAGATCAGTAAAATGAGGACCCAGATTGTTGAAGGCAATAGGCTGACTCTGTAAGCCACCCACTCTGAAGCGGTATATAAGTCTATGTGCTGTTTTTATTGCTATTATATATTTAATCATTTACTTCATAACTATAGAGTGAAGTGGGATCCTGGGCTGATAGAATTTTGTTGAAACAGAACTTTATTTATTCGATTTCTATATCTGTCAGAATTTTGTTGAAACAGAACTTTATTTATTCGATTTCTATATCTGTCTATCTCAGCAAGCGACTTTGCCTCTCCTATAGGATGAAATAGAGTCCAAGCAATAGGGTCTACATATAGGACCCTTAAGTCAAAATTCAATGCCTGTATACTATAAGGATCCAGTTTCTAAAACTGATTTAGGAATGTTGGATTACAAGCTTCTGCACATACTGGAGTATGAAACCCTAAGTATTTATTTATGTACAGAAGTTATATATCTGCCTATCTCTTAGAGTGACTCTAGGTGGCTCACAACAATCCATAAAACATAGTTAAAAACAAAGATATCCTTTCTCCAGGAACCAGACCAAACATCCTGACAACTTAACCTCCATCCTAGCCCAGTGCATGGGGGAAGAGCCAGATCTTCACAGATCTCCAAAAGAACACACATAACCTGCACCTCCATTGTGAATTTATGCCAAACACATGGCCTCTTACAGGCTTTTAGAAGGTTTTGGATTCCAATTCCCATCAGTCTCGACCAACAAGAATAATTGTCAGGACTGTTTCCTTACTAATGATTTATGCTGATTTCCAGCTCTGTTTTGCCAAAGTATATATCAGTAAATAAGATAGCCTTTATACCTAAGCAATGGTTGCATGATACTATAAATCATAACAGTGTAAATGTAAGAAATGATCTAGATGCCCTCCAGATACCTGGGGTGTCTCACCATATTCAGTAAATATGACTAATGTTAGTCACATTATGATTATTGTACCAAAACATTGTTTGGGTTTGTAGCCCAAACATCTACAGCAGCGGTTCTCAACCTATGGGTCGCGACCCCATTTGGGGTCGATCGACCATTTCTCGGGGGTCGCCAAACAAGGCGATCCACCATATTTCCCCCTCGGGGGGCGGCGCCGCACATGCGCGGCACATTTGTGTGACGGGGGTCGCCATCACACAAACGTTGAGAAGCACTGATCTACAGGGTGCCATGTTGCTACTCCATGCCAGAGTTCCAATGGCTGCAGACACAAACACTGTGGTCACATGATCACATTTTAGGTGCAATTTTATGGCTCTTTGCAGCATCCTGTGGTTGTTGTTGTTCTTAACTGCGAAGTCATATCCAACCCATCGCGACCCCATGGACAATGTTCCTCCAGGTCTTCCTGTCCTCTACCATCTTCTGGAGTCCATTTAAATTCACACCTACTGCTTCAGTGACTCCATCCAGCCATCTCATTCTCTGTCGTCCCCTTCTTCTATTGCCCTCAATCTTTCCCAGCATTAGGCTCTTCTCCAGTGAATCCTTCCTTCTCATTAGGTGGCCAAAGTACTTGAGTTTCAACTTCAGGATCTGGCCTTCTAGAGAGCAGTCGGGGTTGATCTCTTCTAGGACTGACCGGTTTGAATGCCTTGCAGTCCAAGGGACTCGCAGGAGTCTTCTCCAGCACCATAGTTCAAAGGCCTCAATTCTTTGGCGCTCAGCCTTTCTTATGGTCCAACTTTCACAGCCATACATTGCAACTGGGAAAACCATGGCCTGGACTATACGCACTTTTGTTGGCAGGGTGATGTCTCTGCTTTTTAGAATGCTGTCTAGATTTGCCATAGCTTTCCTCCCCAGGAGCAAGCGTCTTTTAATTTCTTGGCTGCAGTCCCCATCTGAGGTGATCTTGGAGCCCAGAAAAATAAAATCTGTCACTACCTCCATTTCTTCCCCATCTATTTGCCAGGAATTGAGAGGGCCGGATGCCATGATTTTGGTTTTCTTAATGTTGAGTTTCAAGCCAACTTTTGCACTCTCCTTCTTCACCCGCATCAAGAGGCTCTTTAGTTCCTCTTCACTTTCTGCCATTAGAGTGGTATCATCTGCATATCTTAGGTTGTTGATATTTCTCCCGGCAATCTTAATTCCAACTTTTGATTCATCTAGCCCTGCCTTTCTCATGATGTGCTCTGCATATAAGTTAAATAGGCAGGGCGACAGTATACAGCCTTGCCGGACTCCTTTTCCAATTTTGAACCAATCAGTGGTTCCGTGTCGGTTCTCACTGTTGCTTCTTGACCCTCATATAGGTTTCTCAAGAGACAAATGAGATGGTCTGGTACTCCCATCTCTTTAAGAACTTGCCACAATTTGTTGTGATCCACACAATCAAAGGCTTTTGCATAGTCAATGAAGCAGAAGTAGATGTTTTTCTGGAACTCCCTAGCTTTCTCCATGATCCAGCGTATGTTGGCAATTTGATCTCTAGTTCCTCTGCCTCTTCGAAATCCTGCCTGTACTTCTGGTAGTTCTCGATCCACATACTGCTGGAGTCTAGCTTGTAGGATTTTAAGCATAACTTTACTACCATGTGAAATGAGTGCAATAGTGCGATAGTTTGAACATTCTTTGGCATTGCCTTTCTTTGGAATTGGAATGTAAACTGACCTTTTCCAATCCTGTGGCCACTGTTGAGTTTTCCAAATTTGCTGGCAAATTGAGTGTAGCACTTTTACTGCATCGTCTTTTAAGATTTTTTTTTTAATTGAAAATTTTTAGATATTTTTACAAAAAGCAAAAAAAAAACAAAAAACAACCCTAACCCACCCACCCCAACCCTCCCTCTCCATCCCCATTCACCTTCCCAGAGCTGAATATAGGCTTAATTAAAATTTTTAAAAATCTTAAAAAAATTGAAAAAGTATAAATTATAAATATATCTAAATACCTTACATAAACAATTTATAAAATAATTAACAATAAAATATATGTAAAAAAGGCATACGTATTAAAAAGAAAAAAGTACTTGAAAGAAAAAAGATAATAAAAAAAGAGAAAGAAGAAAAGAGATATAAAAAATACAATCTATAAAATATTAAAGTTTATATACAAGTTATTAGAAAGCTAAATGATATTTTTTTATATCCAGTTTATATTGTATAAAATTTATCCATTTTTCCCATACCGCAAAAAATTTCTCTTGCGATTGCTCCTTTAAGAAAGCCGAAATCTTTGCCATTTCCGCCAAATAAGAAACTTTAAAAAACCACTCTTGCAAGGTAGGCAAAGATCCCTTCTTCCAATATTGACCTACTAACAGCCTAGCAGCCGTAATCAAATTTAACATCAATATAACTTCCTTAGCATCACAATCAGTAACAATACCTAACAAAAACAATTGTGGGGTAAATTTTACCCTCTTTCTAAAAATTCTTTGAATATTCCACCATATCTTAATCCAAAAAACTTTTATATTTTTACACGACCACCAAATATGATAATAAGTAGCATCCAAACAACCACATCTCCAACATTTAGGCTGTAAGTCAGGATACATACGGGACATTTTTTGTGGATCAAGGTGCCATCTGTAAAACATTTTGTAAAAATTCTCCCTTAAGTTCTGGGCTTGTGTAAATTTAACATTCCTCACCCAGATGGTTTCCCAGGTATCTAGTAGAACTGGTTCACCAAAATTTTGTGCCCATTTAATCATACATTCTTTAATTAGTTCTGGTTCTGAGTCCAGTTCTACTAGCACCCCATAAATTCTCTTAATGTGAGTTTGCCTTTGATCTTTTACTTGTTTAAAGAGAGTCTTTTAAGATTTTGAATAGCTCAGCTGGAATACTGTCACCTCCACTAGCTTTGTTGTTGCTCAGATTTTCTAAGGCCCATTTCACTTCACATTCTAGGATGTCTGGTTCGAGGTCAATGACCATCTCATTGTGGTTATCTGGGATGTTAAGCTCATTCTTGTATAGTTCTTCTGTGTAGTTTTGCCATCTCTTCTTAATCTCTTCTGCCTCTGTTAGGTCTCTGCCATTTTGGTCCTTTATCATGCCCATCTTTGCATGAAACGTTCCCTTCATATCTCCAATTTTCTTGAAGAGATCTCTGGTCCTCCCTATTCTGTTGTTTTCTTCTATTTCTTTGCACTGTTCATTTAAGAAGGCATTCTTATCTCTTCTAGCTACTCTCTGGAATTCTGCATTCAATTGGGTGTATCTTTCTCTTTCTCCTTTGCCTTTCGCTTCCCTTCTTTCCTCAGCTATTTGCAAAGCTTCCTCAGACAGCCATTTTGCTTTCTTGCATTTCTTTTTCTTTGGGATGGTTTTAGTTGCTATCTCTTGTACAATGTTGCGAACTTCCATCCATAGTTCTTCAGGCACTCTGTCTATCAGATCTAAAATCTATTTGTCACCTCTACTGTATATTCATCAGGAATATGATTTAGTTCATACCTGAGTGGCCTAGTGCTTTTCCCTACTTTTTTCAATTTAAGCCTAAATTTTGCAACGAGAAGCTCATGATCTGAGCCACAGTCAGCTCCTGGTCTTGTTTTTACTGACTGTATAGAGCTTCTCCATCTTTGGCTGCAGAGCACATAGTCAATCTGATTTCTATGTTGACTGTCTGGTGATGTCCATGTGTAGAGCCATCTCTTGGGTTGTTGGAAAAGAGTGTTTGTTATGACCATCGTATTCTCTTGACAAAATTCTATTAGCCTGTGCCCTGCTTCATTTTGTACTCCAAGGCCAAACTTGCCTGTTATTCTGGTTATCTTTTGGCTTCCTACCTTAGCATTCCAATCCCCCATGATGATAAGGACATCATTTTTGGGTGTTAATTCTATAAGGTGCTGTAGGGCTTCATAGAACCGGTCAATTTCATCCTCTTCAGCACCAGTGGTTGGGGCATAGATTTGGACTACTGTGATATTGAATGGTTTGCCTTGGATTCGAATTGAGATCATTCTGTCATTTTGGGGATTGTATCCCAGTATTGCTTTTCCTATTCTTTTATTGACTATGAAGGCTACTCCATTTCTTCTGAGGGATTCTTGCCCACAGTAGTATACCTGATGGTCATCTGAGTTAAATTCACCCATTCCTGTCCATTTTAGTTCGCTGATTCCTAAGATGTCGATGTTCAGTCTTGTCATCTCTTTTTTGACTACGTCTAGCTTGCCTTGATTCATGGATCTTACATTCCAGGTTCCTATGGAGAAAAAATCTTTACAGCATCGGACTTTCCTTTCACCACCAGATATATCCACAGCTGAGCGTCCTTTCGGCTTTGGCCCAGTCGCTTCATTCTTTCTGGCGCTGCTAGTACTAGCCCTCTGCTCTTCCCCAGTAGCATATTAGACACCTTCCGACCTGAGGGACTCATCTTCCAGTGTCATATCTTTTTTCCTTTTAGTACTTTCCATGGGGTTTTCATGGCAAAGATACTGGAGTGGTTTGCCATTTCCTTCTCCAGTGGATCACATTTTGTCAGAACTCTCTGCTATAACCTGTCCGTCTTGGGTGGCCCTGCATGGCATAGCTTATAGCTTCATTGAGTTACGCAAGCCCCTTCGCCACGACAAGGCAGTAATCCATAAAGGGGATCCTGTGGTTAGGTTACCACAATTTTTGGCCGTTTTTTTTTTTTTGCCAGTTTCTGGTGTTTGTACTGCCCTAGTCCCCTCATACACATGCATACACAGCAAAAGTTCTAAAGGTGTTTATTCAAACCCCCCCAAGCAGGTCCCCAGAAAGTACCCATGCTGCGCAGGTTTGGATTCCAAGCTCAGCATAAGGTTAACTGAGTCCAAACAGGCACACACAAAATCCAGGGAAACAATCCACAAGTCAAACTAGTCAGGATACATGGCATGAACATACAAGGCAAAGAACTGGGAATGTTACTCCAGCAATGCTCAAGTTCTCAGGGCAGGATTAAGTAGGTGAAGCGAATGCAGCCCTTCATGAGTGGCAAAGTTGCCACCTCACGTATAATATAGCCAACTGGCATTGCGTTCTGCCTCCTGTCTGCCCTACGTGTCTTTGGATCAGGAGGAGGGGGAGTGCAAGGACATCACTAACTGTCAGCAGAAGTTCCTAGACAACTTGTTGTAGCTGCGGCTCGCCTCATTCAGCCTCAGCCTGTCACTCATCCGATTACCCAGCTGAGGTTGCTTCGTCAGGCTAGCATTCTCCGAGCCCTGATCCAGGCCATTGTGTGGCTCCATGCTTTCCTCTGCTGACTCAAACTCATCCTCCTCCTCTGAATTCACATCCAGAGTGAGTTCCGAGAACAGATCCATGACAGGTGTTTATGTCCAGTTTCTGGGAAACTACAGCCATTAAAGAAAACAGGCTCACTTAATGAGTGCCGCTTTCACTTAATGAAAATTGCCAAAAAGTTCATAAAATCAGACATGGTTACTTAACAACTGTCACAATTTATAATTGTAATTTTGAGCTGAGTAACAGCTGTAAATAGAGGACTACCTGTAACCCCCAGCACTAAGGCCTTTCCATCCTCCAACCTGTTTACTAGAGTTCAAATTCTCTTACTCATCAAAGACATTAAGAACCCACCTCCCAGCTTCATTTTCCCCTCCCAAATAGGTTGGTCTAACTTCATTACCATTTAGATTGTTGAGCTTGTTCTCTTACCTCTCCTGGAGACTCTGCAAACAAAGGGCAACAGGTGAAGCAGCAGGAAAAGGCCATTTTTTATCAAAATGAGATGGAATATATTCAGGCACCTGCATGGACAGCCCCAGAAATCCTTTTGTATGTCAGCTTTGCTAGTAAACGTCAAAGCATTTCAAAGACTTTCAAACAACATTGTGCTGGTGCAGTGCAAATCTAGAAACCTGTAAGTTATCCTTCTGGCTAGGGAAAAAACAGTCAAAAACTGTCTTTTCCCTAGACTTGAAAGCTGTATTTCTGTTCATGGCCCCAGTTATTTCAAACAAGTCTAACTGGTTTTTCAGCAATTACTCTCTGCATAGTTAAAGAACTCCTTTGCACTGGAAAAGTGACTTCCTCTAGTCTAGAGTGGCATTCCTGGAGCATACCATTATTCCAGGAAGGGGTGTGTGGGTATCTCTGTGTGAAAAGGAGTGAAACAAATAGTGCATACCAATATATTACAATAATAACTGAGTGAAATGTAGTCCCTCAAATCTTTGTGTGTAAAAACGGTCATATATCTGCTGAATTTCATTCATTTTTAAACCTTTTAAATATATACTTCCATCATTTTAAATAGATGAGCTCTTAGTGTAGAATCATATTTGCTTTTCATTGACAGTTCTCTAGTTCTTTCTTCTCTCACATCAAACAGGATAAATAATTTACAAAGATTGTTGTGTTTGTCTTTCATCATTGAAGCTATAAAAGAAATAGTCACAGGAGAAGTAATACCTGGGAAAGTATTGTTTTAAAATGCATGGTATTTACTTGGAAGGAAGATCACCTTGAATTTTGAAACGCTAGAATAGATACAAACAAAGATATAAATTTTGCACAATTTTAACTCCTTGTCTACTGCATGTTACCAACACCTGTTGAAAAAAGAAAGCATGCAATACATACATAATTTATTGCAGAAAATCAGGACACATTTTAAGGAAAAAATGTTTAGGAGAATAGTAAAAACCTGTAACTGTTCCCTGTAATAGCGAGTTTTTGTCAAAGTGGACTAGGATTGAGATTTTTGCAATAAAGTGAATGTACACGCTGAAAAAATTGCTCTTCTCCACAAATGTGTAGAACATATATGCCATACCTATGCATATATGTGGCATATATATCTTCCATAAGCCAACATTATATTAGCTGAATTTATTAAACTTGTATGGTGCTTGACTCAATGACTTTGGGCAATTAATTAAATCAATTAAGGCTATTAATTTTGATTAAAAAATCAACAGCTTTCATTTATATAAAATCTTTTTTTTTTGCTGTGTCCCAAGCTTGATAGAGGCGATGCTGTTCATATATATATATATATAAAACCAATCCCTGTTATCAATTACACTGTAACTGGCTGTAAGTCACTTTTAAATGACTATGTGTGCCACTAAGGGGGAACAAGAAACATTGGTGGAAAACCAAGTTGACACGTGGAATTGGTTGTCACACCCAAAGTTTTCCCAAAGTTGCCAGGCTTAGTTCATTTTCTTGTGCCTGGACATCCTGAAATCTTGCTCTGTTGGCCCACAATTTGTTTACCACAATCAACTCCAGGAGCTGGGGGCCATTTTGTTTGGTTAGCCTCAGTCAGAGTCATCATTACATAGGGTATTGACCCACATTTTTTCCCCTGTTTGGCTGTTTCTGAGGTGAATTAGTAGTTTCTGAAGGAGTATCCCTGCCACCCATGGTACGTGGCAAGTCAGAGTTATTCAGCCTTTCTTGGATTGTGCACTTTAAAGAAAAGAAAAAAAAACTAAACATCTACTAAACCGTTGAGTCATTACTATATAAAACTTTATAACATCTACAACAGTAGAAAGATTTTTTATGAGAAAGATTTAGACTAGCAGTCTAAAGGCCACCTCGGGGTTCATCTGGGTGGCCCTGATTCTATCTGTACCTTTGGACATCTGCCATAAAAACTGTCAGTCATGAAAATAAGTTGTGAAAAATTGAGTTTTTTCTCTCTCTCAGTGTATTCCAAGTTTTGGAGAAGCAGAAATATTCCTCTCATGCCCAACCCAACCACAGAACATGATTTCAAGGGAGGGAAAAGAGGTATATAAATTTGGTGATTTCAGAACTAGCAGTGTGACAAAACCTATATCTTTGTTGTATATATGTGTATACATATGGTTTAGCCATCTTACGCAAAATTTATTAGCATATTAAGGACTTTTGTTTTTTAGTTTTAGCTACCATTTACTTTTTTTTTACTGCTTAGCCCTGATCTATTGAATAAGAAGGGGTAGCAAAGGACATGGGGGGAGCAAAGGACACATTCACACCAAGGCTTTTTTTCCTTGAATCTCTGCAGCCTAAAAGAGACATGTCTCTATAAAACACAGCTGCAAACCATACAGACAATTTACAACTCTCAATATTCTTATTTAGGTAGAAACTCCACAGCATGGATATTCTTAATGATGGACCCCGATGGTGGAATGTCATTAATCAGATGGTAAGGGACAGGAAGGTGGGTGGCTGCTGATAGTTTTGGACCATTTGAGGTGGTTTTGGGAACATGCCAGCTTTTATGTATAAAAAAAAGATATTATGACATTTTTCAAACAATATGGGCTTTACAATGTTATAAAATATAAAATGACTGGAACTGTTTTTGAATTGGATTGATGCCAGCTAGACTTCAAGATTCCAGTCAGATGTAACCTGGATTCAAATCTATGACTGAGCTGTTCAGGATCATGTATTTCCTTTGATTTGTGCACCCCAAGTTTTATGACATAAATGAGAGATTATTCACCATAGAACTTAATGTTAAATAGTAAACCCCGCTCCCTCCCTCCCTCTCTCTCTCTCTCTCTCTCTCTCTCTCTCTCTCTCTCTCTCTCTCTCTCTCTCTGAAATGTGAGATTGCTGGCCTTCATATACAGTGAGGGTGAAGGTTCGTTCTCCGAGCTCTTCTGTTTATAAGGGCTTCAGGTGTGAGTGTGTCAAGTGAGAGTCTTGTGATGGGTCTTGTAACAGGTCAGGTGTGAGTCATCAGTGAAAGGCTTATGATGGGGAGGTTACATCAGGTCAGGGTCATTAGAAGGTGAACTACTGGTGGGGGGAAGGGCTTGCATGGGTTGGTTGAAAGTTGGTGCTGTCTGTGGTTGGCTGTGTGGTAGATTTGGATTCTGTGGGGTTTGTCGGCTGGCTGTAGGTCAATGTTTGTGTTGATGGAATTGTTTGTGGAGTGCTAGACTTCGATGAACTCACAAGCGTGGCAGGTGGTAGCATGGCCGATGATTTTGGTGTTGCTCCAATCGAACTGGTGTTTGATGTCGGTGGGGGTAGAGATCAAGGATTTGAGGTCGTGGCATTTTACTGCCAGCTGGTGTTCATGGATCCTAGTTTTTAATTGACATGATGTTTGTCCCACATACAATTGGTTACAATTGTTACAGTTCATTTTGTAGATTACATTGTTTCTTTCATTCCTCTGTCCTCTGGGAGTTGAAGTCCACGAATCATAAAAGAGCCAAGGTTGCCTACCCCTGGCCTAAACCTTAGAAACTCCTGGCTTCATGTAAATGAATCTATAGAAATTTTGAGGCTATTTGGAATTTACAAGTAGACTTTACTCCTAAGCAGAGCATTGTCCCAATATACTCTTCTAAGCTGCTGTGTTAGTTCTATATTACTTTCTACCAATATGACAATGCTCTTCCCCTTTGTAACAGTAAAAAATCAATGTTCAGTAGGATAATAGTGGATGTTTTTTCTAAGATCACAGTATTAAACATGGGCTTCAGTGGATTAGGCACATAAGGTTTTCAACCATTTCTTGCTTCTCCCCTCTTCTTTTGGGAACAGGAGTCATCCATGGGCTATTGAAGAGCACAATGGTGAGATAATCTGGAAGAAACTACCAATGTTAAGAAATATTGGTGTGGGTACCTAAACAGCTAGAGAGGAATGGAGAGATGGGATGACTAGAGAGATCTTTAAATAACTAGATAATAACCCATAACAGTAATAGCCATACGGAGAGATTTTGAGAAGTCCAACCAGGGCATGTTAGACTGCTTATTTGCAGATGAGCACTATTGAGAAAAAGAACAGTAAGTGAGACATAAATTGCAAAGTATGGCCTATTATATTTGAAATCAGAGCCATGGTAATCTCAGGCAGACCAAAGATCTTTGTTACTACTAAGCATGTGGGGTTATACCAGTGTTTCTCAACCTTGACAATTTTAAGGCATGTGGACTTCAACTCCCAGAATTCCACAGCCAGTATTGCTGGCTGTGGAATTCTGGGAGTTGAAGTCCACATGCCTTAAAATTGTCAAGGTTGAGAAACACTGGGTTATACCAGCATTTCCCAATCTTACCATGGTGATACCAAAATTTATCCCCACACATCTGAAGGGTATGAAGTTGATGAAAGATGATATATATGAATATGTACACTTTACATGTTAAAATGCATAACTTTCTCAACTTTGGTGAGAATCAAAGGTTTTATACCTTTCATATTATGTCATTCTTTGTTCTTCTCCATGATTAATACCAACCACAAATTTTAATTTCCAAGATTGTATAAAATCTAATACCTGAAGTTGTGTTAGATATAATTTATCACAGCTGTTCTACCTCTAGTAAAACTAGCCTGTTGGGGGAAAATGCCTGTCAAAAGACAAATGATAATCCCAAACATCTGACTCTGTATTTCCAGGCTGAATATATTAATGGAAACAGAACATTCAGGGATTGTATATAATTGGGGTTTCAATTTTCTCCGATACTTCAGAAAGGAAGTGTCAAGATTCGAAATGTATGATTCTTGGTAATTGAATGTTTGACCACAACCCAATAAAGACAAGATGGTTGTTAATCAGTGTGATTGAAATATCCACATGTCATTTACTTTACAACAAATGAGAACTCTAGTCATTATAAGAATAGGGTGTTATAAATTTTATTGCAATGGGCTTTGCAGTCTTCAGTTGACTAAGCATAATTTTAAAGGACCTCTTTCAAATAGATATTACAGGCACATTAAACTCAATGTTTTTCAAAAACCCACTGCTCTTGCAGCTGATTCTAAGCCAATTCATACCAGAAGGTTTTAAATAAGCAACCAAGATATGCTAGGCCAAATCCAAAGTTATTTTCCTCTTCCTCATCATTGGAAGGCAGTATGAATAGTAGAAGCTCAAACTAATCCTACCTTGTGGACAAAGCTGCCTTCTATTGACTTACACAATTAGCTTAGTAGTCTTTCAGTGGTTCTTTGGACTTTCAGACAGATTTTTTTTCCCCAGAATTCCCTGTAAGAT